TGAGAGAACATAGTTCACTGCCTTTCAGTACTGTGCTTTTCAATACTTAAACAACATGGTTGCTCAGAACAAAGTAACCGTGAAGAGCTGCATTCCATAGACATTCAGAGCCTCAGGTGATAAGACATAGAATGTTATCTGATTTCCACAGCTTTGTGCCTGAATAGATATAAGAAACTATTATTATTAATTGACTGCTGACTGTGCTCATGGCATGTGCAGACATAAATATGATCCCTGCCTCAGGGAGCAGTTTACACACACAAACAGTTCAGACATGTATAAAATGAAGGTAAGAATGTGAGGAGGTTTGGGAGACACTGTTTTTAAGGTTTCAGGGAAGAAGTGTGCAGAGGGGTTCCTGAAGGAGGAAAAGGAAAACATTTGGTGCATAAGAAAGGGGTGTCTTCCATGTATAAAAGCCTGGAGGGAAGCAGGTGTCTAGATGAGTAAAAGGCAAATAAAACTAAGGGAGCAGGACACAAAAGTGAAATCCGGACTGTGGTAATTTTCAAAAGGCAGAGCTTGGATGTTAGCTTTGTGTCCTGCCCAGTTTTGATTTGGCTAGTTGCAGTTTCCTTTCGTTTCAGTTACAAAATTTAGAAATGAGCAAGGCAGTTTATCGCTGGACACTGTGTAAATCCCCATAACAACATCTAGACAACTCTAGAATCCTTCCACTCATGAAAAAGACTTACCACCATAGGTCAGAGGGAGCGAGGGGCCATGTGGTGATTGGTGCTGCAGGCAGGAGGTGGGAGCCTGGCGGGGAGCAGGTTGCTGAGTAGCTTCGGTGCTGGGACCGAAAGGCTGAGAATCAGACTAAAAAATGGCTTACTGCTGGGATAGGGGTTAGTGGTAATCAGAACAAATAGATATGTGGGAAAGGGCCTTCAAACAGAGCAGTCAGATCTGGACTTTGCCTGGGGGATTTACATGCCAGTATGTGACTGCCTGCAGGAGAGCAGTGGCTTGCGATGAGTATTTTTGGTACCAGGGGCTGACTTAGGGACTATTGGTTTATCTTGTCAACACATGAGAGTTCAGTTCCAGTGCCTTAGTGTGAATGTAGTTATGCTGGTATAAATGTGCCTGTACCAGCACAGCATTCCACTATATCCCTTTGGACTAGTACAAGTACAACTATGCCAGGGCTTACGCTGGGATAAATACAGGCAGTCCCCGAGTTACGCGGATCCGACTTATGTCGGATCCGCAGTTACGAACGGGGTTTTTCTCGCCCCGGAGGACGGGAGCTGCGGGGCGCCCAGATGCGCCGCGGTCCCGCCGCCCGCGTCCTGCGGGGCAAGAAAAGCTGCTCCGCATCTCCCTGGTCTGCTGGTGGGGGGGAGCAGACCAGGGAGACGCTGAGCAAAGCCGCGGGGCACGCGGGCAGCGGGACAGCCCAGACGCGCCGTGGCTGTCTTTGCTCCCCGTCTCCCTGGTCTGCTGTCTCCAGCAGACCAGGGAGACGCGGAGCAAAGCCGCGGAGCATGCGGGCAGCGGGACCAGGGAGATGGGGAGCAAAGCCTCGGAGGACGCCGGCAGTGGAACAGCCGCGGCGCGTCTGGGCTGTCCGCTGCCCGCGTGCTCCGCGGCTTTGCTCCCCCACC